GGAAGGGAGGATGGATCTGGGAAGAGTTAGAAGAGGGGTGAAAATGATCAAAATGTGTATGAAATTCTCATAGAATGAATAAAATATATTTAAAAAGCAAAGCCAGCCAGACATTGGTGGTGCACGCCTTTAATCCCAGCACTCAGGAGGCAGAGGCAGGCAGATCTCTGTGAGTTCGAGGCCAGCCTGGGCTTCAGAGGGAGTGCCAGGATAGGCTCCAAAGCTACACAGAGAAACCTTGTCTCGAAAAACAAAAATAAATAAAAGCAAAGCTGAGTACTTGGCATCAGGATAGTAGAATTCCTTGAAGGCACCTCAAGAATTGTTCAGACTACCAACACAGAGGACTCAGACATTTATCTTAAGGATACCCAGGGCAGCCTCCTTCCACAGGGCCATCTGGAAAATGTCCTGAAATTCCTTCCTCATACTCGGACATAAGATGAATACAGCTGCAGTTTGGCTTGTGCTGGTGGCAGACCTTGGCATCATCTACATCATGTTGGTTTTACAGACATTCAAAATGCAAGAGTTGTGGAGTCATGGAGAGTTCCACAAAGAGATGAGAAGTCAGCTTGGGATGTCAATCACTGTGTGGCAGAGTTGGAGTCCCCGTCAGCAGCTCTCAAGCTGGCAATGTGTTGGAAACATGAGAGTGAAGCAGAACCCATACTGGAGACCCCAGCAAGAAGTGATAGAATACAGCCAGCCCCAGAGTGTGGGCACATGGGCTGCAGTCAGCGAGTCTGTAGGAGCAGGACTGCCTGAGCCCTTGGGATTTCATACTCTGCCACTGTGTGTGCCAGATGCCAGATGTGCGGATGTAGGGTTTAATGTTTGCCCTGCTTCCTTTTAGTCTGTCTTTGATTTGGTCCTTTCTACTCATCTACTCCTCCTTTGTGGATCAGGAGTGTTAGCCTTGTGTCATTGTATCCTAAACATAAGTAATCTTTTTACTTTTTACAGCTTCTCAACTGGGTTTTCCATGGGTCTCAAAGAATACTCTTGACACGGACTGGTGAATGATTTTGAAGCAGTTAAGACTTTGGGAACTCTTGCAGAAACTAATAATGAAATGGGCATAAGCCTTTGGGTGCAGGGGCAGAATGTCACACTCTGACATTAAGTGCCAAAGGCCAGTGTACTAAAGGCTCGGTCACCAGCCTGCTACTTGGAGGAGATAGAACTGTTTCAAGGGGAGGAGTCTGGTTGTTGGGAGTGTGTCTGTCACAGAAAGCAGGGAGCCCAGCTCCTTCCCCAGGCTCTTTGCTTCCAGGCTGCTTTTAGGTGAATGCCTTTGATAAGCCATAAGCGTCTCACCATGATGTGTTCTCTTCACAAAGCCCCAAAGCAACAGGCCAAGTAAGTGTCTGTGCACTGAAACCCTGACTCCAAATAAATGGTTCCTCTTTTCTTTTTTCCCAAGACAGGGTTTCTCTGTGTAGCCCTGGCTGTCCTGAAACTCGCTTTGTAGACCAGGCTGGCCTCGAACTCACAGAGATCCACCTGCCTCTGCCTCCGGAGTGCTGGGATCAAAGGTGTGCACCACACCACTCAGCTATGTTTCCTCTTTTAAAGTTGATTATCTCAGGCATTTTGTTATAGTGAGGGAACAGTAATAAAATCTGGTTTGATGTAAATTGCTTGTTGGCTATCTTAGTTTGTATAGATCGCTCATCTCTTATATCTCCATTAGTTAAGATATTTTTAGGTCAACAAATTTCATAGAACTCTTCCTTTTGACTTATTGAAATATGAGCCACAGTGAATTGCAATGGTCAGGTTTTATTTTGCATAGAGAAACAACACAACTAGTGAGAATACTCAAATGGTTCCTGTGAATTATCTCTATCGGTTGTGGTACAGGTTCAGAAGTGTAATATGGGAAATTCAGTTTGTTCAAATCAGCTCCTTAAGCAGAACCAATTCCAATGATGTCCTACTCCAATTTGGGCATCCCCACTGCTGTGGTGGGAGGCTTGTTATTGGCATCCGAAGGGCTGCTGAGGTTTCCTGTGTCTCACTTCCCTAGCAGCATTCTAGAGCTCAAAGCCTTGTGCTAAGATGGTGAAGCCCTGCTCTGATGGCTCCTCCTGTGGTCTGGGTGACTCCCTACAGCACACATGTGAGCCTCCCATGCTTGGGAGATTATTAGGTCCTGGGGTCATGCCCCTATGAATGGAATTAGTGCTCTTGTCAAAGACTCCGGGAAGACCAGCCCTTCCAGCCACTTGAAGACACACTGGAAGGTATGTTTTCTGAGGAAGACTTCTCCCCAGACAGTCTTGCTGGTGCCTTGATCTTAGACTTCTCAGGCTCCTAGACTGTAAGAAATAACCTTGAATCTAAGCTGTCCAGTTTGGGGATTTTTGTTGTTTTGAGATAATGTTTCACTATGCAGCTCTGACTGGTTGGGAACTCACTATCTAGACCATAGTGGCCTCAAATTCACAGAGATCCCACCTGCCTCTGTCTCTGCTTCCTGAGGGCTGAGGTTAAAGCCATGCAGGACTGTACAGGATGTTTTCCTAAATTAGCAATTTGAACAGACGGAAGTGGTTTATTAACAGTGAGTGCGAGAGCAGGTGTAATTTCTCAAGGTATGATAATGTGCGATTTAACAGCAACACAAATACTGAAATGGAAGACTTGCCCTTGGGCTTTGGAAAGACAGAAATAAGAATTGGTGGGACACTGCTGAAATAGTCTACAATTTCAGGGGGGTTATGGGCTAAGCAAATGAGGAAATCTATGGAGACACTGAGCTAAGGGATTTAGTTTTTCTATCTAGTTAATTTTCAAACACAAGAAAAGGAGCCTCTTGACATTGCTCTATCAGCAAGGCTAGCTAAATGTTCATTTACCCATAGTCCATAACTAGACATTTTTCTTCTACATTTTTTTTTTTTTGCCAAAAATCAAGATGAGTTGAAAACGACTAACCCTTGAAATAGCAAACTCAAAGCTGGGTAAGGTGTGGTGTTGTGGAGAAGGCAAGCGAGCCTCCGTGAACTCAGTTCACAATTTATGTGTCATCTCTGGCCATCAAGGGCTGTAGAAATAATCCCGCCGTCCCTAAAATGCACACCAGGATGAAAACCCAGAGAAAGATTCGGTCAATCACCATGGCAACGTACTTCCAATCGTCTTGAATCTGAAAAAAAAACGAGAACGATGAAACAACATGAAGGAAAGGCTGATTTTCAGTATTAAGTTGTGTTATGGTAGAGAAGCCATTTTGTTTCTTATACAGGGAATCTTGTTGATGCGATCTGAGGAAGTCTATGGCGATGGCTGATAATGATTGTCAGCTTGACAGCATCTAGAACCCCCTAGGAGACAAACCACTGGGCATGCTCATGAAGGATTACCTAAATTAGGTCAGCCTCTAGAGGTGACTATGAAGGGCTGTCTGGATTAGATGGATAGAGGTGGAAAGGTCTACCTCAACTGTGGGTGGCACCACTCCATGGGCTAGGGTCCTAGACGGAATAAAAATGAGAGCAAATTGAACTGTGGTGTTCCTCTTTCTGCTTCCTGACTGTGGGTGCAGTGTGATAGCTGCCTCATGCTCCTGCTGCCATGCCTTCTCCACAGGATGGGCCATTTTTACTGGAGTGGCAAGCCTGAATAAACACCCTCAAGTTGCTTCTTCTCAGGCTGATGGTCACAGCAGCAAAAAGAAGTATTGGTACAACAGGCAACCTCTAATTTCATGTACGGAGAAACAGGTTAAAACATGGGCATGTTGGCTCCGTTTCAAATAAGAATTTTTTTTTTTTTCTTTTGAGTCAAGGTCTGGTCTTCAGCTCTAAACAGTTTAGGTTGGCCTCAAATTATTGATCATCCTGTCACAGCCTCCTGAGGGCTGTGATTACAGGTATGTACCACCACTCAGATGTAAGTGTGTGTGTGTGTGTGTGTGTGTGTGTGTGTGTGTGTGTGTGTGTGTGTCCTATTTTTTTTTCTAAATTGAATTCCAGTACATTGCTCTTTGGGAGGATCTGGAGCCTTTGTTAGAATGGAGACTACAATCCAACCCAACATCATCTGACATTGTTTCAAAGTACTTGTTCATTTCTAATTTTGGATACTAATTTCTGTTTAACATCTGTTCCACAATGAAATAAGCATGTCGGGTGAGCCTGACATTTTTTCTTTCTCGCCACTCCCCTTCAAAATGCCCACCTGACCAAATGTCATCTTCATTTGTAAGGCCAAACAGGCTAAACAGCAGACATAGTGGCTGACAATAGAGTAAAAGACAGGAGAAAGAGCAAGAATAATTATATATAATGAGCTTCAATTTAGGCTTGAAACAGGAAGGAGAATCTATGGTAATTAAACTCCCAGACAATTCAGAAAGCAAAGAAACCACAATTGAGTTGAGAGAGAGAGCCCATGAGCCAACTGATCTTGAAGCAATAATCACATAATGAAGAAGCAGCATGTAATTTTATAATTCAATTAAACACATGAAATGGGGCTGGGAGACGTGGTTTTTATTTCCCCATTATGAACTTGAGTAAATGTGTCCTTTTAGTGATACCATGAAAGTCACAGTCATGGTAAAGTTGGAATCATAATGCCCTGTTTGACATGTTACTCTATTTGAATACTCCAGACTTGTCTGTAAGCATTTCAAGTCCACAGACTGAGACTTACCCACACCTCTATGGGATACATAACACCAATTCCAAGGCTCTGCGAGGCATTGGGTAGAAAACAGGTGGAGACAAACTTTGGTTTTAATCTAGCTCCTTTCTAGGTGTAAGAATCTGAGTAAGGGGATGGAGAAATGGCTCAGCGGTTAAAAGCATTGGCTGCTCTTCCAGAGGATCCTGGGTTCAATTCCCAGTATCTACATGGCAACTTACAACTGTCTATGACTACAGTTTCAGGGAATCTGACACCCCCACACAGATATACATGCAGGCAAAACACCATTGTACATAAAATGAATAAAATGTAAAAACAAAAGAATCTGAGTAAATTTCATCTTCCTCAGTCTCAATATCCTCATCTGAAAAAGATAGTGCAATCTCTGGAGTTGCTTCAGTAGACTCTTTAATGAATGACACTTTTAATATCAATGTTGACTTAAGAAGTGGCCCTTATCCCTATATAAATCTGAGGCTGGATATGATGACGAGTTAGGCCTGGAATCCCACTTCTGGGGGAGCTGAGAAAGTACAATTGTGAGTTCAAGACCAGCCTGGACTACAAGGGTGGTAACTAACATATCTAAGGACATCTAACTGGTCCGAACATAAGTTGCTGATTTGAGTCTAATTCCTTCCTGAAAAAAATAATTTCTCATATCTGAGAAGAATAAGTTTAAAAATTTCAAATTTCTCTATCTTTGTGTGTGTGTGTGTGTGTGTGTGTGTGTGTGTGTGTGTGTATCTGAGGAGGTCAAAGGAGAGTGTTTGATTCCCTGGAGTTAGAGTTACTGGCATCTGATATGGGTGCTAGGAACCAAGTTTGTATCCTTCCCAAGAGCAACAAGTGCTCTTAACTGTTAGGCCATCTCTTGAGCCCCTGAGAGTCTCGTTTCCTAACCTCTGTCTTATGCATCCCTGCACAAGGAAGCCATAATACAAACCATATATTTACCTCTTTGGCTACATTCTGTGCTTTCATATTTTCTGCAATATACTTCACACTTTGGATTGCTTCCTTGATTTCTGGTGACAGAGCAGAGAGGGATGACAACACAGCATCGACAGACTCAGAACTTGAGCTTCTCGTGAGATTAGCACTGAAATTTGAGATTTTTACCCTCCGGTGGTGGCAGTAGCTGCATGTCCCATCTTGGCATGGGTAGCCTTCCTTGCAGCTTTTAGAGTCTGCACGGTTGAAGCAGTTCAGGTTTGAGAGCTCAGCACTGTAGAAGGTCCTTGGTTTCTGAGCTTCTCCCTCGCTGCTGGTTGGCCTAGTCATAAACATGACCCTGGGGAGCAGGTTCAGGAATATAGCCTTGACCCAAGTGGGCATCGTGTGTGTGGTTGGTGTTCTGTAGTGCACGTTGAGTACGAAGACTGTGATAACAATGGACAAGGTGACGAAAATCATGGTGAAGAGGAGGTACTCCCCGATCAGGGGGATGACCAGTGAGGTAGAAGGGATGGTCTCGGTGATCACTAGGAGAAAGACAGTCAGGGAGAGGAGCACGGAGATGCAGAGAGTTACCTTCTCGCCACAGTCAGAGGGCAGGTAGAAGACGAGCACTGTGAGGAAAGAGATGAGCAGGCAGGGGATGATGAGGTTGATGGTGTAAAACAGCGGCAGGCGGCGGATGTACAGTGAGTACGTGATGTCTTGGTAGATCTCCTCACAGCAGTTGTACTTAATCTCATGCTTGTAGCCTGGGGCTTTGATGATGGCCCACTCGCCACTTTCCCAGTAGTCCTTGAGGTTCATTGAGGAGCCAATGAGGACCAGGTCAATCTTGGCCTTGTCATAGGACCACAAGCCGAACTTCATGGTGCAATTTTGGTAGTCGAATGGGAAGTAGGTCACATCGATTTTGCATGAGCTCTTAAAGATGGCTGGGGGGATCCAAGTCACTTCTCCTGTGTACCTGAGTAGAGCTTTGGTCTTGTCATCAACCTGGAAATCCCCGTCAGCGCTGTGAAGACACAGAGGGGCACACACAACTTACCATCACCACTATATGGCCATCCAGCCTGGCTTCCCATGTGGCCACCAGGACAATAACAAGTGATGATTTGTAAAACAGTGGGATCTGAGAGATCAAAGGACCATAAGAGGTCACTGAGCCAGCTGCCCCATTTTCCGGTGGAGATACAGAGGCCTAGGCCTCCCCCAGCAATGCTCGGCCACATTAGTTGTCCACCCCACAACCTCTCCTAACACATGGTTTGCCATACTTGTAACCCCCACTCCAGCTTCTCCCAGTACATTCTCCCCACCTCCGGGACCTCCCCATCAGACTCTGCCATGCTGGTCACATCACTAGTACAGTCCACAGTGTACCATTCCCAGGTTGATGCTTATAGAGACTCCTAAGTGCCAAAAATGGACTCCACTGCTGTTCTGAATTTATGATTTAAGATGAATGTTGTCATCTGGCTTCAGCAGCCTTTGGGGATATCAGCAGGCAGGACCTTGTTAGCATCCCTTTATCCAGTCTCTACTGGGGGCTTGATACATGTGTGAAACCCCACAGCAAACCTGGAAATGGCTTCATGGATCAGCCACAGGTACAGATGCTGTGAAACTAACCCTTACAAGGAAGCCCATCCCCCCATCCCAGGTCTCAGTTGTACCTCTGCCCCGATTCCTCCCTACAGTGTTCCCCAATAAAAACCATGTTTTCTGACTTCCTTGAACTCTTTCAAATCGAACTCAGCAAAGTGGTCTCTGCACTTCCCTTCTTGTCTGTCTCCAGTTATTCCCCATGTTTCTTAACTTCCTTTTATATAGATAACACAGTTTTCTGAGAATCATCCTGCAATGTTTATAAACTGAGGTCTTAACGAAGAACTGATGACACTCTCAGTTCCCTGCACAGCTTGCATTCAGCATTCCATCTCTGTGGCCAATGGACACCATCTGATAGCTAGGTCACTCGCTTCTCACAGATGTCCCTCCCACTGAAGGATTTCTTCCTTTGTCGAGAAGGACATGCTATTGTAGCTCAGGCTAGACTCAAGCTCACTATCCTTCTGCTTTAGCCTCCTGAATGCTGGGATTCAATGCCTGGCTCATTGAAGACTCAACCTGTGGAGCCAACCCTCTAGGTCTCTTAGTTTGCAGCAGTGGGAGGCATTCATGGTTGTCATGTCCCTTTTGGTTGCCATGTGAAAATCTGAAAGAGAGTCCAAATTCTAAACATTTAGAGATGACCTTGCATTGCCATTGGAAAGCCAGCAGTGCTCTGGTGTAGACCATTCCTCTCTGCTGGTCTCTGTCCTCCCTACCCACTCTGCTTCCATTGAGCAGAACAAATATTGCACATGACACTCAGTGCCTGAGCCCCTACCCACATCTGTTTCAGCTGCCTGGCTTGGGTTTCCACATTCCTAATCCCTGATAATTCCAGAGGAAAGGAGGGGGGGGCAGAGCTCTATACCGACTCCATGTGGACTCAGACTCAGTACCAGCTCCCCCACCCCCACCACAGAGCCCTATGAGAGCTGATCAGAACCTTGAAAACCCTACAGAACGCAGGGGCTCCTGAACAAGGTTACTTGCAGAATCCAAGATCAACTTATGTCAGAGAAGTAAGGGACCTACTTCAAAGCCAAGGGCCAAGTCCGGGAGTTGGCAAACTATGGCCACAACCTGCCTGTGCTAGCTAGTTTTATGTCAACTTGACATCAGAAAGGAGGGAGCCTCGTTGAGAAAATATCTCCATAAGATCAGACTATATGCAAGCCTATATTTTCTCAATTAGTGATAGATGAGGGAGGGCCGAGCCCATGGTGGGTGGGGCCACCCCTTGGCTGGTGGTCCTGGGTTCTGTGTAAAAGTAGACTGAGCAAGCCCTGGGAAGCAAGCAAGTAAGCAGCACTCCTCTGTGGCCTCTCCATCAGCTCCTGCCTCCAGGTTCCTGCCATAAGTGAGTTCCTGCCCTCACTGCGTTTCATAATGAACTGTTATATGGAACTGTGAGTGAAATAAACCCTTTCCTCCCCAGGTTGGTTTGGTCATGGTGTTTCATCACAGCGATAGTAGCCCTAACTAAGACACTGCCCTTCCATATTTTTTTTCTGTTTGTGTGTGTTATGCATACATGCGTATGTGTATATGGGCACATGTGTGGGTGTGCCCATGTGTGCAGTGCATGTAGAGGCCCAAAAGCAATGTCAGGAATTATCCTTGATTGTTCTCTCATCCTTATTCACTGAGGCAGGGTCTCTCAATCAAACCCAGAGTGATGATAAAGTTGACAATGAGGATAAGGCTGGTGTCCCTGGCCAGCTTGCTCTGGAGAGCTCTGTCTCTGCCTTCCAAGGCTGCCTGCCACACATACCTGGCATTTACATGGGTTCTGGGAAATCCAAACTCTGGTCCTCATGATCATGTGGCAAGTGCTTTAATCTCTGGGCCATCTTCCCAGCCACCATTCCCACACATTTCTACTGCAACAAAGTCATTGCCATTTGTTCTTTCTTTGGTGGCTGCTTTGGGCTATAAGGGCAGAGTTGAATAGGTGTGACAGAGACTGAATCAGCTCAAACACTAAAACATTTTAGTGCCTGTTCTTTCTGGGGAGCCAGGTGCCTGTGCTCTATCCCTGTTGTTTCCTGTCACTGAAGAAACACTCAAGGTCAAAGAGCAGGGTCCATTTGCATGGAACATCTGTGGGCACAGCCTTGGCTATTCAGAACTTTAGTCCCCAAGTGAGGCATCACCAAAATGTCTGCGTACCCAATAGACAAGTACCAGAAAAAGGCCAGCCTTGACCCAACTACTCATTCCTGTAGTTTCTGGGGTTCCTGGTCACTTGTAACTGCTGTAGAAGCCCCTCGTTGTACTAGAAGGCCTGTTTGCTGTGCAGGTTGGGGTCAAAAATCATGTCTGTCACCAGCAGTCACAGAACATGAGGTTCCACTTGGAGACCAAAATCCAGCACAGCTTTTGCCACACAGTGCACTTGTATTTGTTGACCAAATGAATGGTCAAAGACTTAATTGAAAATCTCTACCCATCACATACACAGAGGGAGTTGAAGAAATAAATGGGTGGGTGGTGGCAGAGACAAAGTGACAAGAGCTGGAAGAGGGGTCTGTACTGCATTCCTGCCTGTGTGAGTCGGTTAAAATGAGAAAAGAAGGTGTGAGCAGAGAGGCTCAGCAAAGGTCTTTTGCATACAAGAGAAGATTATGTGTGGAAATGGGGCAAGGGTAGGAGAAAAATCACAACAGCAGAAACTTGTGTAAGCTAGAGAATCCTTTAGAAAACCAGGGCAGCTCAGATGGCAGAGCAGGCCCACTGCCCACACCTTCAGTGAGGGCTTCAGTGTCCCATGAATGTCAGCATAAGAGAGCACAGGACCAGAGCATCTCTGCAGGCCACATGGGATACCTGCTGAATGGAGGTAACCTATGGAGGAGAAAACGGGTCCCCAGGCCCTGAGAGTTAGTCCTGGGCCAGAAACATAGAAGAAATAGGGTCATCGGAGAAAAGGACCATACACAGAAGGTGAGGTGACACACATCCTTGGTACTTGGGGTACCAAGGTAGAAGAATCATGGTTTGAAGTCAGCCTGGGCTACACAGTGAGACCCTGTCTCAAAAATAACAAAGACCTGATTTGATATTGAATCCTCAGCAAGGTTTCAATTTGTATTTGAGAATTTAGAAACATGGCAGAGGGCTGGTATTGTGGTTCAGCTGGTTAAGGCACCACCAAGTCTGATGGCCTGAGTTCTGTCCTCAGACCCCTGAACCTACATGGTGGAATCAGGGAACTGACTTGCAATTGTCTTCTGACCTCCACATATGCTCTCTCCTCTCTCTCTCTCTCTCTCTCTCTCTCTCTCTCTCTCTCTCTCTCTCTCTTCCCTTCCCTCTCTCCTGCTTTACCTCCCTCCACCCCACACAAATAAATAAACATAAAAAATGATAATACTTTATGGTGAGAATACACACAGGGTTACAGAGAAATGAGTCAAGGCTGGGGCAGGTTTGTGGGGATCTCAGAACTCGAAACACTCCATCCAATCCCCCACACCCCAAAACTCTCTTTCAGAATCTCCCAGAAAAAGTTGCCCATGCAGGAAATGGGATGGACTGGGACAGATGAAAACCCTTTGGGTAGCCATGCTAAAGAGCAAGCCACTTACAAAGAAGACAATTATACGTACTAACTTTAGAAAGGACATGGAAGAACAAAAAAGAAAACCCTGGGCAGCTGTGTATTTATGGTTCTTCAGTGGCTAAGCTGCTCTCTAGCTTGGGAACCTGGGACAATCTATGAATCTTGCCCAGCCCTGCTCTTCTCCTATGAATATTCTCTCTTAAAGAGGGCGAGACAGCCATCAACTCCCATCCCTGCCACAGAGCTAGTAACTAGTGCCACATTCAAAGCCCTCCCCTGCTACCCCAGGTCCCCCCACCATACACTGCTTGATCCTCCAGCTAATGAGGTCACTTTGGCTGTGCATGACATACTCTCCTGCCTCCCTGCACCTTCTCTGCTGCAGTTCCCTGTTCCAGATCCCTTATGACCTTCAAGGCCCACTTTAATGACATTTCTTCCCAGCAGTTTCTCTGGTGACCTTTCCCCTCCTCCAGCCACACATCACTATCTTAGGAATCACTTAACATCCTGCCACTCTATGGCTTACTGGCAACTGTGGCACCCAATACATAACTGATGCCCAGAGCCTGCAGAGTGAACAAGTAAACAAATCCCACTCAGAAAAGATCAAAGAAGGCCGGTGAGTGGCTGGAGGACCCAGAGCCCAGACTGCCAGACCAAAGAGTATGGGGCAGCCAGCTCCTTACTTGTTATAAAGCACAATGTCTGGTTTCCAGATCTTCTCTGCGGGGACATGCATGAACTCCACCCCTTGGTAGTCAGAGGGTTTCCATTTCAGCTTGTAGTCATTCCAGATCTGGTGGAAGAAGGTGGGGAGATGGAAGCCTGGTTTATGTGGTGGTTAGGACCGAGCCCAGGGAATTGGGCATTCTACCTAGTGAGCTACATCTACAGCCCCACATATTTGGTGTATGTGTACATGTGTGTAGGCACATGTGTGGGGGTGTGCTTGCATGTGTGTACGTGAATTTAGAGGCCAGAAGTTGATAAAGGTTATCTTCCTTGATCAGCCATCAAATGATTTATTGAAGTAAGGTATCTCACTGTACCTGGAGCTCAATGATTCTGCTGGCCTAGGAAGCCAGGCTCCCCCTGGGATTCTTTCTCTTCTGGCTTTGAACTCACAGAGATCCATATGCCTCTGCCTTCTGAGTGCTGGGATCAAAGATGTGAGCCACCATGAGCCACCACACCCAGCCTGTCCGATTTTGTAGTAGGCATGTGGAGAGAATTCTCTCTCCAGGCTGTAGCTTGTCTATCTGTCATGTGAGGTGACCCTGACTGGGGGTCCTCAGGAGTAGTGTCCAGTCTGCAGCCCCCTTTGTTTCCCAGCAGCAAATAAAGCTATTACCACCAGGGGGCAGCAGTACACAGAACCAGTGCACGTACTTGTTTCAGCCACAGGTTGGTCTCCATGATCTGGTTCACTTCATCCTAGAAAGTGAAATTGAAGTTGACAGGTGAGTGTCAACAGTGAGGCTGACTCCAGGCGGGCTCCTCTAGAACCCCATGGCCACATCTTGTGGCTCCTGCACTTACCACCTTCACCAGCTGAGACATGGACACCTCAAACTGGACGGTGACTGGATGGGACACGTTGGCCACAGGCCGAATGAACTCGTTGTAATCTTCAAACAGGTGCTGGAACAGGCGATGTTCAGCTTCTGAGGCACTGGCCACTGAGGGAGGCATTCCTGTTAGTTCCTGGGGAAATGGTTACTTACCTCTCCCTTTGTGCAAAGACATCCTGCCTATTCCCATCTGCCGGGGTACTCAGCAAATCCAGGCTTCCAGGCTAATAATGCTCCCTTAAGTTACAAGCTGGAAAACTGGGGCTTGAGAAGGACAAGGATTCTACCAGGTCACACACATTCAGTGGTCTGGGGCCCTGAGTTCTGAAGTTGGGTATGTACATGTGGGGTATACCCCAGCAAACCATGGGAAGCTGTATGAGAGCTTAGGCTAGTAGTTTAAGCTCTCTGCACCTTGAGGTTTTTTTTTTTTTTTTTTTTTTAATCTATCAACATAAAGAGTATGCATGAATGTACCTCAAAAACAGGAGTGAAGTACCTCTCTCAGTGGCCTGTGGCAAGCCACCAGGAACTGCTGTTAGCTAGATGGGACTCTCTTCGGATGTCCACACTTCTATCTGTGTTACCGCCATTATCTTAGCTTTCCTTCTCCCCTAAATTTAAGCAAAGACTGCCTTTTTCCCCTCTTTAAATTTTTTATTACGTTATGGGGGAAGGGTGCAGGCCAAGGCATGTGTGTGGGGTTCAGAGGGCAGCCTTCGAAACTCAGTTCTTTCCTTTTACCACGAGGGTCCTGGGGACCAAACTCAGGTTATCAGTGTTATATAAAGTGATAAGGGAACCTTGGCAGATTCCATGGCAGGTGAGGGTGACCGAGGTGGGGGGACAAACATGCCAGGAAGACAGAGCTTGGGGAGAAGTTTTATTAGAAAGGGAAAGCATGGGGGTGGAGAGGTAAAAACAGATAGACAGACAGACAGACAGACAGACAGACACACACACACACACACACGGGGGGGGGGGGAGGGACAGAAGAGAAGAGGGAGACAGGGAAAGTCCTGTCTGCCCCAGGGGAACAGCAGAAAAGAGAGAGGGGAAAAGAGTGTAAGTGGGTGGGGTCTTTCTTTTAAAGGGGTTCTTTACAGCTGTGTGCAGACTACACAATCATGGAACCCTGGGCTGACCAGGGAACTGTCTGAATGCATTCTGCCAGGTGACAGGGGCAGGATAGCATAAAGCCTGAATCCTTACAATCAGGCTGGGTGGCAAGTGTCTTTACCAATTGAACCAGACACCAGATGCTTCTTTCTTCTCTTCCTCCCTTCCTTCTTATTTATTTATTTATTTATTTATTTATTTATTTATTTATTTATTTATTTATTTATGAGACAGGGTTTTTCTGTGTAGTTTTGGAGGCTGTCCTGGAACTCTCTCTGTAGACCAGGCTGATCTTGAACTCTCAGAGATCCACCTGCCTCTGCCTCTAGAATGCTGGGATTAAAGGTGTGTGCCACCACTTCCCGGCTTGATACTTTTCTCTTAATAAAACTCTAACCTTTCTCTACATAAGACACCCTTATGGGTCTTAAGGGTCTTAAAAAATAATGAAAGAACTATTAGAGGCTCAAACCTTTATTGTTACTCCAAGGAAGGTACCCTGATGCCCGAGTGGGAAGATGACTCACCCACCCCTGGGGCAGGGGCAGAGCCATTCAGGGTCCCCCCAGGCCAGAAGACCTGTTCCCCCCCCCCCATGTGGGAGACTGCAGCCCCTTCCTCCATCGTCCTGCAGTCTGCAAGGGTTTGGCTATGGACGTCTTAGGAGCCAAGGTGCCCACGAGTTCCTGCCAGTGTTGTCTTCACATCCTAACCCCAATTCCTTGTCTTGAAGGCCCCTGTGCATCCTTTTTGTTTACAAGTCCACCCCAGCTAATCGAGGCATCTTAGACCAATCTGTCAGCTGCTTCCTATTTAGAGTACTGGGGTCAGTCGAGGGACAGTCTTTTGGGGAAAACATAACCCAGCTTCTTCAGGCAGTGATTTGGGCGGGCCCCTCACAGGAGTGATGCAAGCCCCCCCACCCCCCATTGAACTGAAGGCTCTGCCCGCCTTCGGGGGACATCGTAGCTGTGTTTCTGCCTCATTCACCAGCCATCTCGGTTTCTGGAAGGGCTTCCTCCTAACAGGCTCGTCTAGAGCCTCTGCGACGGCCTGGGAGGAGCAATCACGTCGAAAGTCTCTAGGCAACTGGATCATTGCGCAGAGACGGGAGGACAGGACCAGAGGCTTGGTCCAGCCCCAGCTCCAAACCACTCGAGTCTCCTCCAGGTGGTTTTGGACAAGTCTTTAGCCTTCTTTGGCCACAGGTTTTCTCACGGTCCACAAAACCAAACGATGAGCAGGAGGCAGATACTGGAAGTGGGGCTGCGGGTCCCTGCAGCAGAACCACGTTCGGGACCCGGACTCAAACCTCTAACTCCTACGCAGACCCAGAGGCCGGCTCTGGCCTCGCCATGAGCCTCTGCTAACTGAGAGGCTTGGGAACAAAGGAGTACCCAAGGGGCTCAGCGAGGTAGGGTCTGGGATGCGCGTGCATTGTCAGAACCATGGGACCACGCTGAGATCCAAGGCGGGTGGGCGCCTAGACTTCTAAGGGGCTGGTGGGCGAAACCTTGTGGAAAGCCGAGGCCAGGGCTGCAGCCTCGCAAGGCGACCCGCCGGCCACCTCCCGCCGCAGCCCGCCTGGGCTCCTGACCCGACCGCTCCCCGCGCGTACCTGGCAGTAGCAGCAGCACCAGCAGCAGTCTCACCGGCGGCGACCAGAGCCGCACGGCGTCCATGTCTGGAGACCGGGCGGACAGAGCTGGGTGCACTCCGGTGCGACCGCCGACGCCCAGCTATGAGAGCGCAAGGACCGCGGGGCTCCTTCCGGCTTGGGGTCGCCGAGCTCCCGTGCACTTGCTCCCGAAATGCACGAAACCCGGGAAGCTAAGCGCTGGGAGCAGCCGTGGGGCGGGGAGGCCAAGGCGGGAGCTGCACCCGCCGTGGGAGGGGCGTCGGGTCTCTGCCTCGCCCTGAGCAGCCCTGGAGTCTGGAAACCGCTAGGCTAAGGACCAGACCGGAGCAGACACTGTCACCATTGTCACCATGGCAGGAAAAAAGGGCCAAATCTCTGGCTAGGGCTTCCCGGACGGGTGGAGCTCCCAGGAGGGCTGGGGGACCACCGCAAAGCCGTGCCAGCTCTAGTGCAACTCAAAAGGAGCCGTGGAAGTGGATATTCTTAAAGTAACTATTTTCAGCATGATACTGTTGTGCATACATACATAACATCCAGTTGAGGGGGAATAGATGGATTGGAGTCGAAACAGTATTGGTGATGAGTTTATCATGGATGGGTGTTGACATCTGGGAGGTCTTATACTATTTTATTTATTTAGACTATGCTCCTTAATAAAACATAGAACAATGCTGGAGATTATAGCACAGCAGGAGAGGGCTTGCCTAGCATACCTGAGGCCCAGGTTTTGATCCCCAGCATAGCAAATTAACGCTTTTATAAGTAAGGTTGAAACACACACACACACACACACACACACACACACACACACACAGAGAGAGAGAGAGAGAGAGAGAGAGACAGAGACAGAGACAGAGAGAATCTGGCTTTCCACTCTAACACCCTTGTAGATCCTCCTTTGTCTCGCTGCCACCTGGTAGCCTGGGTGTCCAAGGAATAGGCCATGGCAGGGTAGGTGTCCTGGGATCCCTTGGCCTCTCTGGCCATCCACCAGGGATGGCTTGGCACTTGGAGGATTCCCTGATAGTTATTAGGGACCTTGTTAGAGTGAAAGAGAGGCACTAGGCCGGATCATGGTGATGAACATACTAAAACACATGGAATTGTCCACTGAAAATTTATGTATAATTTACATATAAAATTGTCAATAAAAGCGTTTGTTTTTAAGATTTTTATTTGCTGTGTGTGTGTGCCCACATGAGCACGTGCATTCACATGGAAGCCGGAGGACACTTTGTGGAGTCAGTTCTCTCCTTCCATCTTTACTCGGATTCCAGGGATGAAACTCAGGGAGCCTGGCTCGGGAGGTAAGTACCTTCACTTGCTGAGCCGTCTTACTGGCCCAATGAAGTTCTTTTTTAAAGATGCAGCAGAAAGAAGCCAGTCTCTAATTACACCCTGGAGGATTCTGTTTAGCAGCAGGCTAGAAGATTCTGAGCTAGAGTGATGGAGAAAAGGTAAGGTGTGGACAGGGGTGCCAGGGCTAAGTGTGCAGGGCATAACCCTATACAGAATTGTAGCAGAGCTTGAGTGAAACACCCTTCATTTGTCCTGGTGTCAGTGATGTTCACACAGATATATACTTACGTTAAATTTAAAGGATTGTTCACAAGGAAGTCAACTTTATTGTATGATGATTCTAACAAAACTCTTTAAAATATTCTCCTTCAGTGGCTGGAGACCAAGCAGTCAAGAGTACTGGCTGCCCTTCCAAAGGAACCAGGTTTGGTTCCCAGCACCCACATGGTGGCTTCTCTCTCCAGTTCCAGGGATTCCAATGTCTTTTTCTGACTCCCAGAGGCACCAGGCATACACATGGTGCACACAAATACACAAAGACAAAACATCCATATACATAAAATAATATTTAAAAAAATTTAAATATGCCGGCGTTGGTGGCTCACGCCTTTAATCCCAGCACTCGGGAGGCAGAGGCAGGGGGGTTTCCGTGAGTTCAAGACCAGCCTGGTCTACAAGAGCTAGTTCCAGGACAGCCTCCAAAGCCATAGAGAAACCCTGTCTCGAAAAAACAAACAAAAAAATTTAAATATTCTCCTTAATTCCAGAAATATCTTGAGTGTCAACAATGGGGCAAGCACTGTGAGAGGAATGGATGAGTACAGTGTGAGAGAGACAGGCCTGAACCAACCACGATGCAAAGGTCCAAAGCAGTTGGAGCTGTGATGTCCCAGAGAAGGCTCCTCTTTCTAGAGGTGGGGACCAAGGACAGCTACTCAGAGAGAGCATGTAAGTTTGAAGCAAGAGCCATTCATTCATTCAGCAAACATTTATTTTTTTACCTTCTGTGTGCAGAGCTCTGTCTCAAGCCCTGGCCCTTGTGGAACATACACTCTCATGGGCAAGGTAGAGGTGACTGGTGTGCCACCAACTAACAACTACAGGAACCGATGGGGGACAGCCAAGAGGTTGGAGGTTTAATGCAGTTAGGGGAGACATTGCTTTGGAATGCATGACTAGGGAAGGCTTCTACAAGAAATGACATTGGAGCAGAGGATCATGGGAGTAGAGCCCTGACTAGTGCAACCATGTGAAAAGCTTAGGAAGTAAGAGTCTAAGGATTTGGGCAGGAACTACAGTATAGAGATTCTGACTTGGGAGAATCTGAAAGTGTGAGGAGATGGAAGAAGAGCAAGGAATCCCGTGGGCAGCTGGAGTGGAGAGAGATGGATGCGAAGGCAGGCTAGGTTGTGGTGGCATGACACATGGCACCACGGGTGCTGCTCGTCTGGCTGTCTGATTCCAGTGCCTGGCAAAGGGAAGGAAGGAGGCCAGGCCAGACTTGGCAGCCTAATCTTCTCCTTCATGGGCTTACTCAAAGGCATTCAGAGGGAACAGTGCAAACCACCCATCTTTGTCCTTCTCATGGCTGTGGCTGGTTTGATGGGGTTGACTGCCAGTGGTCACATCTTTACTTAGGGCCTCATTAGCTATGACTTAAAGGAAGCAGTAAACTGCCTACTTGGCTTCCCGCATCATCTCACTATAACCCAGGGGCCCTTGGCATTCTGGGTGGCCTAGGTGCCCTTGGAAGGTGCATGGGTCTGGAAGAGGGGGGGTAGGAAGAGCCCCACAGTGCCCAGGATGCACACAAACACAAACACCCACAGGAATAGGCGGTCGACGACCATCGCTACGAATTTCCAGTCCTCGATAACCTGCAGACAGACAGAGACTAGTTACAGGTGCCAAGCACAGAGTATACCCTCCCTCTGAACTGCACCTCCACCTGCTGACCAGGATCCAATAGGCAACACGGGGACTATACATTGGTGTGGCAGGTTTTGAATCCCAAGCTGGCCTCCACTAGGCAATTCTGGGCTTCTCTTGGTGTTTTTCAACCCCACCTAACCTGACCATGCTTGGAGCGGGGAGCAGGAGAGCCACGGGAACTTGGGCTGTACAGCTGTTTCTCAGTCTCCTTAGGATCCCCTATGATCACCCAAACCCTGATGCCACTCAGGACCTCACAGAAAAGGTGCAGTATTTGCACACAGCCCATGCATCCTAGCTAGGCTTTGGTCAACTTGATACAAACTAGAGTACTCTGGGAAGAGGGCGCCACAATTGGAAAAAAAAAAAAAAGTGCCTCTGTCATATTAGTCTGTAGGCAAGTCTGTAGGGCATTATCCTGGTTAATGATTGATGTGAGAGGGTCCAACCCACTGTGGGTGTTACCACTCTTGGGCAGGTGGTCCTGGGTCATAGAAGAAAGCAGACTGAGTTAGTCATGAGGGGCAAGCAAGTGAATGGTGTTTCTTTGTCTATGGCTCTGCATTGAGTTCCAACCTTGGCTTCCCTCAGTGAACTATGGCTCAGGATATGTAAGCCAAACTTTCTATACCAAGTTGGTTTTGGTCATAGAGTTCATCAGAGCAACAGAAACCTAAGACATCATGAAATCCTTGCCTGTATTTACAATGCCTATAGACCACGTGAATACCTAACATAATGTAGATGCTATGTAAGTAGTCATCGTCCTGTATTTGGGAGACTAATGACAGGAAGGGGAGTACACATGTTAGTGTAGACACCTTTTCTACCCATTGTTTTACCCGAAGTCACATGAATTCATGGATGCAGAAACAGAGACTCAAATATTCCACACATGGTGATTTTTAAAGCCAAATATGGTTATGGGTAAAGGAGGTTGTGGCTTAGGGATAGCTAGGTTCCTTCTTCTCATTTATCCCAAACCCTCTGTCTCAGCTGGCTTTGGAGAGAGGGAGATGTGGGGCCTGCCTCCCTGCTTGACAAGCGCTTGCAAAACACCTGGAAACCCCACAGTGTAATCAGTTCCACTCTATTCACAGCAGTGCCTGCTGTTTTCCATAATCAGACTCTGCCTCCTAGGGCCTCATCATCTGGCTCTCTTTCTCTGCACACACTTCATCTTCTCAGACCCAACCAAGGGATGTGACACTAGTGGAAACCTGCCTGGCTTCCAGGTAGCACCATAGATGTGCCCGCCTCCTTGGTGCTATGAGACTCTCAGAGAGTAGTCATGTGCCCAGCATCCAGGCATCCCTCCTCCACCCACTGGCTGGAAAGGCTTGTGGAGACTTAGGAGTTAGAAATGCAGGCAGCAACGGGCAAGATGACGTCAGTGACCCAATTTGCCAGGGCCTCATCAATGGTGTGTGTCACACTCCAGGATAATCCTGTGTCAGATCAAACTCCACTCCCTCAAATACTGATTGTTCTTGTTCCTAAGATCAGGAAGGGAAGTGGGCCTCTACACAGGGTTGGAAGAATTCATTTTGACAGCTTTAATTTCAAGCACATCCCCATCTCTTCCTGTGTTTGTGCTGCTTACAATGACCAGCTAGTCATTATGGAGGGCAAAAGTGCTGTAGATGAGAAACAGCTCCCCGGATGGCTTAGTAGTGAGAGGGAATATGGACTTCTCTAACCACATATGAGAAAATCACTTAGTCAACAAGCTCTTCATGTGCTCAGGGCAGGGCAAGACCCCCAGAAGGGGCCCAGAGGTTAAGGATTGCAGCTATGTGCCAGCTGTGTGACCCCAGACAAGTCAGGGTTATTCTGTGCCTCAGTTTCCCATTGTGAACTAAGGGCTCTAGTAAAAGCCACTTCCCAGTATCCCTGGGAGAGTTAGGATTGTCTGCTGACTCCAACCAGAGCACCTGATACATGTCTGGCACCACAAGCACACAGGTGTTATCATCCCACTGAGTTCCACCTGGCTCCTCCCCTCTTGGGCTTGTTATTAACTCACAAGCTCTGCAAGTGCCAAGCGGGTGGTGAGGTCCTTAGGAGAAAAAGCTCAGGATGGAAGCTAGTTCAAGCAGGAGTGCAGACCAGTGCTTCTCATCCAGGATGTGCACAGGACCTCACAGGAGTTTAAGAGGTGGCTCCTGAAGTTTCCTCCAGAGATCCTGACTCAGTCAAAGATGTAATTCTATCACTTGGGAGGTGGCAGCAGGAAGATCAAGTCCAAGGTCAGTCCTGGGGATGCGACTTAGTAATAGATGTTTGTCTAGCTTGTGCAAAGCCCTGGGTTTGAACCTCAGCACCAAATAAAATCTACGTTGGGGGCATGTCTGAAATCCCAGCACTGGGGAGGCACAGGCAGAAGGGATAGAAGTAAGTCATCTTCCACTACATAGTGAGTTTGGAACAATCCTGGGGTACATAAAACACTACCTCAAAAAAATCCATTAGCACTCTGCGTGCTTTTGACTGAAGTGGTGGAGGACAACAAAGACACATGAAAACTTGCAACTCAGAGCTCACGATTCAGTATGAATTTTGATACACATGAGAAGGAGTATGATGCACAGGACAGATCAGATCAGAGTGATCAGGTATTGACAAGGAGGCTAGTTCTAAGGGTAAAGAGTTGATAATATTTTTTTTTAGGTTCAAGGTCACCTTCCACTGTGTAGTGAGTTCAAGCCCAGCTGCAGCTACAAAGAGATATGGGAGGAATGAAAGAAAGACTAGCATTATTAAATACAGCAGGGCTGTGCTTCTGGCTGCCGTGGGACCAGGAAGCCTCAGAGATCTGGTTAAAATGCTGAGTTGGAGACCCAAGAGGAATCTCGGTGTCTAGCAAAATCTAGACAAGGCTGATGCTACAGGACCTGGAGCTACTCTCTGAGCAGCAGGCGGGTGACCCACAGGCCGGACATTTCTTAGCAATTGTCTTCTTTCTTCACAGTGTGATTCTGTGACTTTGCAGCTTGTGCTCTATAGTTGACGCTAACTGCAGGAATGCCAGCGCTCTCTCCTGGCGCTAACTACCAGAATGCCAGCCTTCCTTCTCTCCTGACAATCTAGTTGACGGGAAGGAACTGCAAAAAGGTGGAAGAAGGCTGGGCGTTGGTGGTGCATGCCTTTAATCCCAGCCCTCGGGAGGCAGAGGCAGGTGGATCTCTGTGAGTTCGAGACCAGCCTGGTCTCCAGAGCAAGTGCCAGGATAGGCTCCGAAAGCTACACAGAGAAACCCTGTCTCGAAAAACCAGGAAAAAAAAGGTGGAAGATGTCCTCTTCTCTCAAGCGGCTGCCAGTGGGGAGATACAATGTTGCAACATAAAATGTTTAAGGAATCTGAGAGGCTTTGCCTTGAAACAGGAACATTCTCATGCTATGACGTGTGCTCTTTCAGGTAGAGAAGTAAGTAGGAAGGTCTAACAATGATGGTCTCCATGTATCCAGTCATTATCAAATCTCCCTTACACATTACTATAGCTAGTTTTTATTGTAACCTTGACGCATCCTTGAATCACAGAGAAGGGAGTCTCAGTTAGGGGCCGACCTGATTGTATTGTGAACATGTCCAGGGAGATTGTCTTGATTGTTAATTCATATAGGAGGGCCCAGCCTACTGTGGGCTCCATCATTCCCTGGTCAGGCAGCCTGGGATGTGTAAGGAAGCTAGTGTCACATGCCATGAGTCTGTGAGTGAGCCAGCAAGCAGCCCTCCTCCAGATTCTCTGTTGTTCTTCTTTGCTGTGGTAATGATGCTAGAGATAATTCTGTTGGAATAGCAAGCATGCCTGCTTTCAGGTTCCTGCCTTGAGTTCCTGTGACTTTTAAGTATAAGCCAAATAAATTCCTTTCTCTCTGAAGTTACTGTTGTGTTTGTCACAGCAACAGAATGAAACTAAAACACATGTACCATTTGTTCAGAGGAGTCATTTGACGAGGGCAGGCTCTAGAACTCATGGTATCTGGTGAGGGAGAACTTTACCTCATTTTAGAAAATCTGTAATTCTTGTCACCCTACAATGATAATATATTAGCCTGCTAGCAATAACACTTTGGCTGATGTTTCTATGCCCCTGAAAGGTATAAGTCCTCACAGGGCCTCTTTGCAAGTCTGAAATGTAGGAACAGATGCCCCAAGCAACCCAACCCAAGTTATGCTCTCTTAGGGTGACAGAGCCACCTTCAAATCCACTGAGAGCCTTCTTCTCCAGGGCATGCAGCTCTCCTCTGCTCTGCCTCAGGATTTTCTCTACCATAAAGGGTGCTTGCTCTGGCAATTAGGCATAAATGGAAGTTCACCTCCCAGGGCTACTGTCAACTGGAGGGGGATGGGAGCTGGGGGATAAATACTCCAGCCTCCAGCCAGGCCATGATTCTGAGGCTAATTGTCTGGGTCCTTGGGGGTGTCTACGCAGCAACCATAAGAGTAGACTCACTGATATCCTACAGCACGGCCCCTCTTCCCCTTTGTTTTGCTTTCTCTGCATCCTCAGTATTCTTCCTAGGGTCACATCGCAAGTAAGCTACCTGTACCCCAAGCCCCATCTCAGACTCTGCTTCGAGAGAACCCAGGACCAACACTGGAAGATCTTCCTCACCTATGAAGCTACAATAAAAACATTTCCATCTTGAATGTCTTACTCAGATGGTGGGGGAAGGACTGGTGACTTACACTCTGATCTTGATCATCACTCCTCAGATGCTGGGCGATGAAGCTGACACCCTCTACGGCTTCCTGGAGGTCATGCCGGAACCTCCCAGAGGACCTCAGCCGGGCACCCCTGGGGTTGCCTGCTGTGCGGGAGCCGACTGCAGACTTGGGAGTAGCAAGGACTGGGTTCACAAAGTACATGGAATGCCCATAGACGTCAGATGGGCTGGCTGGGCCTAAGGCAGCGGTGTTTGCAGCATCAGCTGTGGTCATGTGCAACTGGCTGGGATGACGGATCCCGGCTGGGGTAACTCTGAGACCTGGGCGCTTCATGAAGAGGAAGGTGGGCAGCTTGTGCAGGAAGCACTCCTTGACCCAGGATGCCATGGTGTGAGTGCTGGGTGAGCGGTGGTGCACGTTGAGGACGCATACAGTGGTAACGATGGAAAAGGTGACCAGCACCATGGTGAACAAGAGGTACTTGCCAATGAGTGGTACGTCAAGAGAGGTGGGAGGCACGATCTTGGAGATGAGCAGTAAGAAGAATGTGAGTGCTAGCAGCACGGAGATGCAGAGTGTCATCTTCTCCCCACAATCAGAGGGCAGGTAGAAGACCAGGATGGCCAGCGAGGTGATGAGCACACAGGGGATGATGAGGTTGATGGTATAGAAGAGTGGCTTGCGCTTGATGATGAAGTCATAGGTCACGTCCACATAGCTGGGGTCCAGCGGGTTCACTGTCCTTCGTCCTGGGAGGGCCACAATGTCCCACTCACCACTGGGAGTAAAGTCATCCATGATGGCTGTGGGCGATTTAAGGACCATGTCAATCTCTGTGTGGTCATAGGTCCAGGAGCGAAATTTGAGGGTGCAGTTCTGTTGGTCGAAGGGAAAGTGCTTCACCTCAATTTTGCAGGCACTCTTGTAGATGGCAGGGGGCAGCCACTGGATGCTGCCATTGGAACGCACGATGACGTTGGCGTAGAAAGACACCTCATAGGTCCCATCAGCACTGGAGTGGGGTAGAGCATAGAGGAAGACTAGCTTGTTCTCAACCCCCCCCCCCAAGAGTCTTTGGGGATCATCTACCTTCCTCACTGAAACAGGCCTGCTTTTCTCTGCGACTCTCTACCATGAGGCACTGAAGGCCTCTCATGGAATTAGCTCAGTTAAGTCTCACAAGAGTTCAAGGAAGCAACATTTCTATTGTGTTCCTCATTTTACAGCTTGGAAAGTGAGGCTTTGGGAAGCTAGAGGATGTTATCAAGCTCCTTAGACGAGTAAGCAGTAGAGATGAGATACAGATCCTCATCTTATTCCATCCTTGGCTGTCTCATGCTTGCTCTCTTTGCCCAGGCTGATCTCAAACTCCTGGGTTCCTGATCCTTCTGCCTCATCCTCTCCAATAGCTGCTATCACACTAATATACCCAAGGTATTGACACGTGACAAGTCAAAGTTCCAGCCCCCAACACTGACAAAGCCACCAAGTCACAAAAAGACAGAATGGTGGGGCAGGAATGATAAGGGCACTGGCCTGAGGGTCTGAAGACTGCCCAGTCCTGCTGTGCTGAGCAGGACAAGGCTTCTCCTCTCTAGCCTTCTCTTCCCACCTCCCACTCCGAAGTGTCTGTCCCCATCGTCTCTGTCTCTCTAGCTACGGCCTAGAAGTCTGAGAGAAGTGTAGAAGAGGAGGGATGGGGTTGGTTCAGGTATGGATAGCCCTGAAGACTGGCTTGCTGCTCTGGCCTGACCCTCACTAACTTTAGCCAACCCTCCACTTACTTGTTATACAACACAATGTCAGGCAACCAGACACGCTTTGCGGGGATCCTCAAAATGTTCACCCCTTCGTAGTAGGAGCTGTTCCAGGCCAGGCGGTAGTCAGTCCATTCCTGAGTACACAGACAAGGCCATGTCACCTGTAGGTCCATTGTGACTAAAGAGCAGCCCCAGAGGAAACATCACCTAGGCTGGGGGACCCTCCAAGGCACTTACCTGTTTTAGCCAGATGTTGGTGGTCATGATTTGTTCTCGCTCATTCTGGGGAGGGAAATGAGGGTGTCAGTTCATCTGGAAGGAGAGGCCCCCACAAATGGACAATATGTTACCTCAAAAAGGCTCTGAGCCCCTTGGCCTGTGTGACCAGCTACCACTTAAATATCTCTTAGGTCATGTGTTACCTTTTGCATTGCTGCAACCACATACTGACAAGAAGCTTGGGGAGAGGGACTGATTTTAACTCACACTTTCATGGTGAGGATGGCATGGCCTTCATGTGGAGCTTGTGCCTGTTCTTACTATAGGGACAGGTGGAAACAGGGACAGATGATCTAGAACTGGGGCTAGGCTTTGACCCCCCAAGCCTGCTCATGACAACCTATTCCCTTACCTCTTAACAGTTTCATGACCTCTCAGTGTGGCCACCTGGGGACCCAGTGTTTAAAGACATGAGCCTGTGTGGGACATTCCATATTCAGGCAGTCTCCTGGCCATTTTATAGTGCAATGATGCATTCAATACAACTTCAAAAGGCTGCATAGTCTTACGGTTCCAACACTGTAAAAGCCTGAGAACTTTTCTAGGATCCCAGACACTCTCTTAACTGTGACTCCCTGTAAAACCAGAAGATAAGTTACTTCCAATGTAGAATGGGATAAACATTCCCATTCGAAAAGCAAGAGATGGGAGCATGGCAAGGACAGATGGCACCAAAGGGGCTGGAGAGCTGGCTCAATGGTTAAGAGCAATGGCTGCTCTTTCAGAGGACCTGGGTTAGATTTCCAGCACCTACAAGATGACTCACAATCACCTGTAACTCCAGTCCCAAGGGATTCCATGCCCTCTTTTGACCTCTACATGTACTGCATGCATTTGGTGCACTTACAAACATTCAGGAAAAATACCCATATGCATAAAATAAAACTAAATCTTCAAAGAGCGGACCAAAGCAAGACTGAAACCTTTCAGGTTTGAAAACCCAACATTTTGTAGCTCCATGTCCAGCATGTGGGGGCTCTTGGTGATATCATCTGGGTTTCAAAGGTGGGAGAAAGCCCCATCCTTCCAGCTCTGTCGCCCAGATTGACTCCACTTAGTTGTCTGCAGTTTTCCTTGGTGAGTGTTCCGTGTTTTCTCCATCTCCTAAATCCTAGGGCCTCCATTGCAACTTAATCCTTACCTTCACAGCTTCACAGTGGCTTCCCTGGGTCTCCTTGCAGAGACACCAATCATGCCATATGCTGGCTGCCTTGGCAGCTTTCTGAAACATTGGGAAAGGTTTCATCACCCCGTTCCTCTCACATCTTTCACACCTGAGAAACTAGGACCAAGTGAGCAATGCTAATCCTGATGCCAGCTCAAGAGGGTCCCCTCCTAACACAGCTGCTCTACACTCTGCATTTATGGCTGACTCTGAGAAGACACATTCCTGGAAACCCCTGCAGTGGCATTTGTAGTTCATGCTCTCCCTTTAAATTCACTTGCTGGGGCCTTCGGTGGGTCCTAACCCTTCATTTTATTCCAGGCCATAATGCCTGGTTTCTCTTTAACGACACCAATGTTTTTTTTTTTTTTTTCAGTTATAGCCAATTTGTCTGCAACCCATCCACCTTCAACCTTAGCCACATTCACATTCCTTTCCAAGGTATGTTTCCCATGTCTTCCTGATGTGAATTTTCATTATGAAGCCCACTAAACACAGTAAGCAATAACCATGTCACAACACGAAAGCTACACTGCCTTAATAGTTCCTCGGCCAAGCAAATTAGTCCATAACCTTTTAATGTAGCTAACTTCAAATTGTTAGGACATGGCAAAACAGGGCCAGTTTTTTGTTTGTTTGTTTGCCAGAATATAGAAGAAATGGCCTGTAGTCTAGCTCCCAATTGAGTCTTTGTTCCCTTCTGAAATCTCATGAGCCTAGCTAACAGGAAAAGTCAGCGCTCTCTCTCTCTCTCTCTCTCTCTCTCTCTCTCTCTCTCTCTCTCTCTCAGACCAGGTCTCCCACAAGCTCACCCAAATGATCCACTAAACTCTGGGTCCAGCATGCTATGGCTTCTCTCATTCTGAAGCTATATATACAGCCCTCATTCCTTGTTTAACTCAGTTCCAGGGGCTTATGAACAACCTGGTCAGGTTTATCTCAGCAACAACCCTGCTTCCAAGTTCCAGCTTTCTGTATTAGGTATTTTGTTCGCCACTGCAACCAAATGTGTGACAAGTGGCTAAGTCGAGAGAAGAACTGATCCTAGCTCACAGCTTCATGGCAAGGGAGGCAGAGCAGCTGGGGCTTTGGCTTTCGTGTGGAAACTTATGGCTGGTCATGATGTGGTGGTAAATGGATAACTGGTATTCATACCCGCAACAGGAGCCAGGCTAACATCTAAAAACCCACCCCTCAGTAACTTACTTCTGCCAGCCAGGAAGAATTTCTCAAATTTCTCAATTTCTCAAATGAGTGTCACTAGCAAGATACCATGTGTCCTTACCATTTCACATTCCAACCACATTAGATAATGCAAAGATATTTCACACCCAGCACATAGGAGACAAAGCTCATGACTGCCCCCCCCCACACACACACAAAAAAAAAACACCTGGAAGTTCTGGCCACACCATTTCCTGGTTCATCAAACCCTCTTGGGTGCATTTCCTGCATCTCAAAATTGTCCACTTCTCTCCATCTCTGTTGCTACTATTATCTGTTGCTTGGACAACTGCAGTAGTTTCCCAGCTGGCATTCAGGTAGTCTTTTGGATCTCAGTTCTTCAGACCATGGTTCTGTGTTTGGGAAATCTACTTTTCCCAAGCTCACTGGGAGTAAAAGCCAAAGTCCTATGCAGGGCCTGTATACACCTGCCTCTGCTTTTGCAACCTCCACAGTGGCCATGCTTGTTTCATTACTTCTGACTTTGCATATACTCTCCCCGTTCCCTGGAAAGTCACATAGTTTCGACTTAACTTTTTTCAAGTCTCAGAAATGTCACCCTATCAGAGAAATCTCCAGCCTTCCTGCCTCCTCTCACTACACATACCCTGTACTGTCTTCATGACACTTCTATGTGGACGTCATCTGACATTTTGTGTACTGTCTCTACTTCCCTCTAGCATCCAAGGACCATGAGGAGAGAAAAAAAAAAAACCCTAGAGCAACAGGGATATGTTGGATACCTGATGAATATTTTTGGATGGATAAATTATTCCTATTATCCTATTATCATAATCCAGTTCAGTAATGTCTTATCTCTCAGCTGGACCATTGGACAATCTAATTGGTCTAAATCCATTCTGCATCTCTCTCTCTCTCTCTCTCTCTCTCTCTCTCT